TCAGGAATGATGGGAGTTGTAGCTCAGCAACCTTTGCAAGGCCACAGGTTCCCCATCCCTGCATCAGTTTATAACCTACAAACAACAACCGTCTCTGCTGATGCTTGCCTCTCTGCTTACCCTGCAAAGTTCTGCACTGGGACAGTGGCATTTAATTTAATGTAATTGCAAAGCACAGACACAGGGCATTGTAATAAAGTGGCAGTGTAGGAAAAGGAGACTATCTGGCTAATTAAAGGGACTGCATCCTTCTCCTGGAACAAAACAGCTATTCTACGCCAGTGACACATTTCCCCACATGCTGCACCCATCTCAGGCACACAAATTCCACGTCTGTGTTGCAGAAGAGTAGCTGCGTTCATTTCTCGGTTACAGCAAAAATGCAACAAGCGGTGGAATTTGACTACGTTTCACTGAGAGCAGACCTACTGCAAAGAATGGAGGTCATCAATTTCAGTGGGTCTGTGTAAAACTTAGCGGCATACCACCCAAAAAGTACCATGGCATCTTGAGGAATAACAAACATACAGGAGTATAAGCTCTGGGAGAAAAGAGCCCATGTTTGTTGTGGGACCATGTCTGGTAGCAATGACACAGACATACTAAAGGTTTTCTTATAGGACAGCCAAATATCTCCCAGCATTCTCCCTCATCTTCCAGGCACTGATAACAGAATCTCAGAGCCCAGAGGAAGATCAGCTCCATCTTCCGAATGAATGATCACAGAACAGACCCATCTTGCACTCCTCCTGCCTCATCCACACTGCCCCAAACACCAAAAGCCACTATTGGTGGCATCAAATCATCATGCATTCAGCTCGCATGCAAGGAAAGCCAATTTTATATGGAATTATCCCCAAGTGGTTGGTTCCATTCAAAGGGAATAGAAAGGAAGGGCAGGAGGAAGAAGATTCTTTGGCTGGGATACTGGGAGCCTGTGGAAGAGATGGGGAAGAGAAACTCTGCAGTTTTGGCTGTTGTCTCAGAGCAAAGACTGGGGCAGCCAACTGGAGCAGCGCACGGAATCCTGGATCGCCATTTGGCTGTTATGCAACCTCCACCAATTCCAAAAAAGCAGTTCTACTTTGCTGCTGCTGCTGCACCTTTGCAATGATCAGCTAAATGCTTCCTAATTGCAAACAACAGATTAAGCCAGCCTCCCCTGACCTGGTGCTCTGCAGATTATTATTATTATTAATAATAATAATTACCCACCCATTACCCTAAGGTCCCAGGGTGGGTTACAACAGTTCAAACACAATATTAAAAACAGATTAAAACAACTAACAACCGTAGAAATAAGGTAGGTCCTAAAAACGTACATCTCAAGTGTCAAAAGCGAGTGTAAAGATGTTTTGGACTACAACTCCCAGAAGCCCAAGCCAGCATGGCCAAAATTCAGGGATGGTGGGAGTTGCAGTCCAGGGCACCAGGCTGGGGAAGGCAGTGTGGCCATATACCACATATTCAGAATGGTTATTTAGCCAAAGTTTTCTGGTGTGATCAGACGCCCTTTCTTTAAAAGCTTCCTTGGATGTTTTTAAGCAGAGGTTGGATGGCCATCTGTCATGGATGCTTTAGCTGAGATTCCTGCATTGCAGGGGGTTGGACTAGATGACCCTTGGGTCCCTTCCAACTCTAAGATTCTATGATGCCATTTGAGATTAGCCACAAGGTTAGGAGAGCATGAGGTAGGCATGCAGAGTTTTGGAGCAACTAGATTGCTCCAAAAGCCTCTCTTTCCCCCAAAACTTGAGATCCAAACCCACATGCACAGGAATGCATTTGCCACCTTACCTGACACAGATACTCTCATGATCGCTTCCAAAGGCCTGTTGTTATCCAAGGCCCTGCTCAGACGTAGCTCTCCAGTGCTGTGGTTCAGGAGCACCAGCCTCAGTTCATTGCCTTGCTCAAAGCTGTAGGTAAGCGTATCGGAGACATCCGGGTCATAGGCTGGGATTCTGCCAATCACACCCGTGGGGAAACTGCTGGACTTGTTGGTGATATAGTTATTGAAGAGGATCTCAAAATTCTTCAAGACAGGGATGTTGTCGTTCTTATCCAGCAGACGGACGTGCACAGTGGCCCGGCTGACGAGTGGGGCTGAAGTAGCCTGGACCACAATGACATACTCAGACTTGGCCTCATAATCCAAATCCATCAGTGCCGTCAGCTCTCCGGAGAAGATGTCGAGTTGAAAGACCTCGGGAATGTTGCCTTCCACTATCTGATACATGATCTGGGCATTGGTGCCCTCATCTGGGTCGCTGGCAGTGATCCGGGCCACCACTAAACCAATGGGGCTGTTCTCCTCAACAAAAATGTCAAACTCATCCTGTTCAAAGACAGGGGGGTTGTCGTTGACGTCAAGAACAGTGATATAGACATCAATAGGGGTCCTCATGGCTGGCATGCCCTTATCAACGGCATATGCCCTAAGCTCATACAATGGGACATTCTCCCTGTCCAGCCTGCGCAGTGTCCTAACAATGCCCGATGTGGATTCAATTATGAAGTCTCCATCCCCATCGTCCCCACCCTGGAAGGTATAGAACACCCTCCCATTCAGCCCAGAGTCTCTGTCAGTGGCGGAAACCTGCAGGACACTCGTGAAAGCTGGCACATCCTCATATACAGAACCCTGGTAGTTATCCCTTAAGAACTGAGGTGCGTTGTCATTTACATCGTTGACTAGGATCTCCAGGTAGGTAGTATCTGATTTCTGGGGGATACCATTGTCCCGGGCTGTAATTGCCAATGTGTAGGACACCTGATCCTCATAGTCCAGCTCCATCTGAGTGGTGACAGCACCAGTATCCATATCTATCTTGAACTGAGGGATACTGTCTTCCATGAAGTAAGTAATGCGGGCATTCTCCCCCGTGTCCTCATCCGTAGCACTAATAATAACTACAGTGGTACCCACTGGCCTGTCCTCATTGATGTTCACGGTGTAGTGGGAGCTTTGGAAGACTGGTCGGTGTGTGTTGGCATCTGTCACATTCACAAAAACCTGGGCCGTGTCAAGTCGTGTGCCATCGGAAGCAGTAATGGTAAGCAGGTACTGACGCTCTAATTTGTAATCCAAGGGTAGGGCCAGGGTGATGAGACCCCCACCACTCTGGCTGGTTATGGAGAAGCGATTGCGGGTGTTCCCATTAGTGATCTGGTAGGTGATGACGCTGTTGACATCCCGGTCAATGGCGGAGACTGTAAGGACACTGGTGCCCACAGCAGCGTCTTCATTGAGCCTCATGGTATATTCCTTTTGAGTAAACTCAGGATTGTTATCATTGACGTCCAGGACAGTGATGCTGACGCTGGCCGAGGAGGTCATGGGGGGGCTACCGTGGTCTCGGGCCTCAACACCAAAGTTGTAGAAGTCCACAGCTTCACGGTCCAATTCAGAGGCCACCACAATCCAGCCTGTGTTGTTATTGATGGTGAAGGGGAAATCAGAGCTCGTGTCAACCAGAGCATACTCCAGCCGAGCGTTCTCCCCAGAATCCGCATCAATGGCTTGGATGTGGATGACCGAGTAGCCCACAGGGACATTCTCCAGCACCGTGGACTGAAAAGGGGTGCTGACAAATATGGGGGCGTTGTCATTGACATCCAACACCTGGATGGTCACCAGCCCACTGATGTTGGAAAGAGGGGGTCTTCCTCCATCCTGGGCCCTAATGCGGAGGGTGTATTCCTTGTTCATCTCATAGTCAAGCTGGCTGACCACATCAATGTTACCTGTCTGGGCATCGATGTAGAACTGGCCGCGGGTGTTGCCACTCATGATGCTGTAATGCACCAGAGCATTGCTACCTTTGTCCCGGTCAGTCGCATTGACCCGCAGGATGTGAGTGTTGGAGGCCACGTTCTCGGGCACCTGCACCACGTAGCGTTTCTCGCTGAACTGCGGCGAGTTGTCGTTATCATCCTCCACCGTGATGTGGATCGTGGCTGTGGTGCTGCGTGGCCCCGGGTCTTTGCCTTGGTCGTTGGCCTCCACCATCAGCTGGTAGGCCTCAACTGCTTCCCGGTCCACCAGGCCGTTGGTGCGAATGACGCCGGACTTGGGGTCAATCTCAAAGATCCGGTTGGAGCCATTCCCGTTCAGGATGCGGTAGAGGATGTTGGCGTTGGGGCTGGCATCCCCATCCGTGGCCCTCACCGTCAGCACTTCGTAGCCCACCTCCAGGTTCTCCCGCATGCTCTCCTTGTACTCCTGCTGCTCAAAGACCGGGTCGTGGTCATTGGTGTCGCTCACCGTGATCATGAGGGTGGCCAGGGCGGTGCGGCGTGGCACGCCGTGGTCCGTGGCCGTCACGCGGAACACGTGGGTGCTCTTGGTCTCCCGGTCCAGCTCCTCAGCCGTCGTCACGGCCCCCGTCTGGGCATCGATGGCAAAGAAGCTGTTGGAGCGGCTGTCGTAGAGGGCATCCATAGAGTAGTCCAAGCGGCCCCACTCGCCCTCATCGGGGTCCAGGGCCCGCAGCATGATCACGGGGGTCCCCGCCGGCCTGTTCTCCGGCACTGAAGCCTGGTAGGCTGGCATCTGGAACTGAGGGCTGGCGTTGACGTTCCTCTTGGAGCGGCTGCTCCCCGCGCCACCTCGGGGGGCCCCCTCGGATTGCCACAGCTTCTCCATCTGCTGTTGAGAAGAGCCCAGGCCGAGGCTCCACAGGACAAAGGTCTCTCCCTCCTCCTCCTCCTCCTCACAGAGGCTGCACAGGAGCTCCAGGCGCAGCGGGTGCCCGGAGCGGAGGCACCTGGCCCGAGGGGGCAGCATCAAGTCCTCCTGGAGGTGGTCCGACGGCTCGCTCCCGCCGCTGTCGCCTCGCAACCGGCAGCGCAGCCGGCAGCCTCCCCGCGAGCTGGCCGGCGGCAGGGGGACGCGCGCGCCCGGCTCCATGCACAGCGCCCGCCTGCGCCCCCTGCGGAACCGCGGGCCCGGCTCCGGGGCCAGCAGGAGCCGGCTCAGCAGCACCAAGTCGCCGTCCTCAGCCGCGTCGCCGCCGCCGCCGCAGCGCGGCCCGAGCAGGTGCGCCCAGAGGCCGCGGGCAGGACGCGCGGCCGGGCAGCGCCACGAGGCGGCGGCGCGGCGCAAGCGGGGAGCAGCTCCGGCTCCGGCGGTGGCGGCGGCGGCCAGGCCGGTCCGCTGAAGGGGGCGCAGGGCGGCCCCGGGGGCTCCGGGCTGCGGCCGAGCGGGGGATCCCCAGCGCCGCCAGCAGCAGCAGCACAGCCCGGCCGGGGGCGCAGCAGCCGCAGCCGCCGCCCATCTCCCGCCGCCGCCCGCACTCCGGCTTCCTCTCGCTCCGTCCGTCCGCGCGTCGCTCAGCAGCTGCGCTTCATGCCCAGCGGAGGATCCGGGCCGAGGCGCCCGCCGGCTCCGCCGATCAGCCCCAGCAGGTCCGCCGCCGCCGCCGCCGCGTGCGCTCTTGCTCGCAGCCCGCGAAGGTCTCTCCGCCTGCCAACCAGCCCGGCAAGGCTCCGCTGCGGCAGCAGCTCGCCGACGCTCATTTCCATAGACCTGCGGCTCTTAAAGGAGCCGCGGCAGCCCCGGCTGCTGGAGAGGAGAGGCAGCCGCGCGGTGGGGCCCTCGCCGGCGTTATACCGCCACTTTCTCCCCCAGCGGCGGCGGCGGCAGGGCTGCTAGAGAGGTCCGCCGGGCTCCTGTTGGCCGATGGCCGGGCCTTAGGAGCAACCCGGGAATAACAGGTGGTGGCATTGAGCGTGTACAGAGTGCAGCAGGGCCTCGGCTTGCTCATGTCCGCAGGCAGCCTCTGCCCATCTGGACTGGCTTTTATTTATTTATTTCTGACGTTTATATGCCGTCTTTTCTTCTGGGGGTGTACATGAAGCATAGAATTGGAAGGGAACAGGAAGGGTCGTGGATGCTTTAGTGAAATTCCTGCATTGCAAGATGACCCTTGGGGTCCCTTACAACTCTACAACTCTATGATTTCATGATCTAGACCAGCCCCCTGCAGTGCGGATATCGTTTGTCCAATGTGGGGCTCAAACCCATGACGTTGAGATGAAGAGTTTACTGACTATGGCTCTCCTGCCCACCCCCATTTCATCACTGCAACAACCTTGTGAGGTACTAAGAGAAGGTGGCTGGCCCAAGGTCATCCAGTGAGCTTCGTGGCTGAGTAGGGATTCATATCCTGGTCTCCCAGGTCCTAGTCCCAACTCTCTGAACCATTACACCACAATGGCTCTCATTACTATTACTATTACTATTATTACTATTATTACTATTATTACTATTATTACTATTATTGCTATTGCAAGGCATCCCTCCCAGAGAATTTGTAAACTGTGATCAGGGCTCTCTGGGGCTTAATGTTCAGTGCCAAAGCTTAGCCCTGAAAGAAATGAACCAGTAATGAGCATGCACAGAGTACCTTTTTCTTCACATCTTAGAGCAGGAGTTGCCCACATAGTGCCCTTCTAATGTTGCTGGACTACAACTCTCATCATCCCACACATCCTTGGCCATGTTGGCAAGCATCCATGGGAGTTGCAATCCAACAACACCAGGAAGAAACCACACTGGCTGTGCCTCTCTTGGGGAATTGCAGCCAGCTTCTATATATCTGGGACTGGAGGAACAGCTTCTGGTGTCCTGAACACTGGGGCTCTCTCTCGCAACATGAGAAATTCCATTTGGGAAAACCCCAACAGTTAAATCCTTTTAAAAAGCCAATTTATAATGTATTGTAAATACACACAATGCAACTTCTGTGCCTGATGCATTTGGATGCGTAGACCCATTCTGCATTTTTATTTTTATTTTTAAACTACAACACAAAGTTGATGTGGCTATAATGGCTAGTACCAAGGTTTTGGGAGCTGAGAGAAGAGTGTTTCTGTTTTTTTGCCATGGCATGCTATTCATTCTCAGCAGCTGTTCAAATGCCCATAATTTTCATTTTGCTGTTACGCAGTCTATTGAGAAAGTGACACCACATAAATACTACTTGTATGCTGTCCTTGTATAAACATGCACAAAAACGCCAACTGTGTAGGCAAACATTCTGGATGGATTTCTGCACAGAAGCAGTTCAACTCCCACTCAAAGTGGGAATTAAGCAGCCAAACTCTGTGTTGAATTTCAATAACAAGTGTGGACAGGAATTGATAAGAGGCTGCCTCGTACCGGGTCAGACCGTTAGTCCATCTAGCTCACTGCTGTCCGCAATGATTGGCAAGGTTTCAGGCAGGCGTCCTTAATCTATTTATTTATTAGATTTCTCACCTATCCTTGACTGTGGAACTCACTGCCACAAGAGGCAGTGGTGGCCACCCATTTGGATGGCTTTAAAAAAAGGATTAAATGCATTCGTGGAGAGTAAGGCAAGCAGGGTCCACTAGCCATGATGGCTATGCTCTGCCTCCATGCTCAGAGAGAGTATGTTTCTGAATACTAGTTGCTGGAAACCACAGGAGGGGAGGGGGCTCTTGTCTTGAATCCTGCTTGTGGGTTTCCCACCGGCATCTAGTCAGCCACTGTAAGACCAGGATGCTGGACTAAGTAGCATCTTGTTTGTAAAATGGGGAAGGACTGTAGCGTTTGCCTTGCACACAGAGGTTCCCAATTCTTGTCATCTCCAGCTAGGGCTGCAACCTGGGATAAGCTGCCGCCAGTCGATATAGACGATTATGGATCACATGGGCCAATGTTCAGATTCAGTGTAAGACAGTTCCCTATGTTCCTAAGAGCAGAATTCAGGACTTCTGTAGCCTGTGAAATATTTTGTAAAAGAAAGAAATTGGGGTTCCATCTCTTCTTAGAGCCAGTTTACAAGACGACCATGGGTGGAGTGGGGTGGGGTGACTCTGTTCAATCAGTGCAAATCTTCGTTGTGATGAACTGAAGGAAGAAGCCTGCGCTAGTCAGACAAGCAGAACTGCCTAGGCTACGCTGGACAGCAGCCTGGGCCAGATACCCTGGCTGAAACCTCTCCTCCCCCCCCCACCCCCATTTGACTTCTCCAATGGGTGGGCCAGCACCAATCATTCACTGGCTGGAGCCTGGTGCTTTCTTTCCCTTCCACCTCCTTTCCTTTTACACCAACTTTTGCAGCACATTTTGCTTGTGTACGTTTTTGCATGTACAAGGAACCTGCTTGCGCAAGGCTTGCCGCTCCAGGAATGGTGCTTCTTAAAAGGGCAATGCCTCCAGCTTTCTCACAGCCTCGCTCACTGCAGGTGCACAGAACCTCAAACCCGTCCCTTTCTTTGGACTGATTCATAATAATAATAAAACTGCTAGTGGTGCTGCTGTATTCCCCACTTAGGTAGTGCCCACTATGTAATCAGAACTTCAGTTCTTTGATTTGGAACTCATTATGACTCACATACACAAATTCAGATCCTCTTTCCAATGAAAACAACAACAGCAATACACTTTTATGCTATTAGATACACAAAAAGAAACGGGGGGGGGGGGGGAGAAAGAGTTTATGCACATCAGGCTGCAATCCTGTACAGAGTTACTTGGGAGTTAGTCTTATTGAACTCACTGGGAATCACTTTTTAACCGACATGCCTAGGATTGCACTCTCAGAGACTGGACGTGTCTGTTATGTATTTCTGTTTTTAAACAGTTGCATAACGGAAAGCACTAGCATTTAAATACTACAGCCATAAGTGAATCAATAATAATAATTTGCATTGATATAGCAATTTAGAAGCACTTCCTATACATTATCCAAATACTTGTTACACAATAGGCCCATAATGTATGTCTCCACCCTGCTATTGCAGATGCGGGAGCTGAGAGGTAAGCGCCAGCGAGATGCACCTTGTGGGTTCACATCTGAAGGAAAATCTAAAACGGATGGATGTCTCAGATCGTACTACTAATCCCTTGAATAGACTATTACTCCCTCAACTCAGAATATAAAGGAAGCAATTTGACAGAAACCACAGCTGTACATCCTTGGATTATGAATGGGGACTCCATTCAAACCCAATTGAAATGAACTGAAGTTAAACAGAAGCAATGCATGCTGGTGGGCCATGGTTGAAATAACTAGAATTTTATTTTTTTTAAGACAGTTAACATTGTTGCCTCTTCAACTCGTCAGAGGGCTGCACAGGTATATTGTACAGGTGTTTGTTCACAACAACGACAATAGATCTAAAATGTATTCACTGGCAGGAGCTCCAAGAAAATGGTTCTCTACCTGGGCATTTTACCCTGAGAACAAAGGGTTTTTCTTTTGTCCTCAGAGCAGAGTAGCCAAGCACCATCACCCTGGGCAAATGACCAAATCTATTTTAATGTTCTGCTGTGTAAACCTATGGCTGATGATGGATCGCTGGTGGCTGGAAAACTTGCAAAATGGCTGAGCCAATAAAATATAAAAATTATGCCTTTTCATCATTTTTTGTAGCACAAAATCCTATACACACCTACTCAGAAGTAAGGCTTGCTGAGTTCAATGGGGCTTACTTCCAGATTAATCAGTACAGGACTGCAGCCCAAGTCTATTCAACAGCACCCATCATCCTTTGGGTGACTATCTGCATCCTGACTTATAATAACAAAAGAAAACCTCTCTGCTCTGCCAAGACAAACTCCTTAGCAATAGATAACTTGTTTTGAACTGGATGTAGACAACCAACCAGCCTAGAACAAAGCAGGTGCAGAAAACCCAGCATCAAAGATACTAAACTGGAACACACGGCTCCCTGTACATTGACATGGCATAACTGGAGGCAAATTAGGCCAAGTTTCTCTTAAACTCCTGTCTCTGCTGCTAAGGGCCAAGCAGTTCTCTAGCTGCAAGCCAATCAGGCAGGCAGGCAGACAGGCTGGAGCGACCAATGGCTCCCAAGGATACAGGGAGGAATGTTGCCTCTCCTCCTAGCCTACTGAGTGAAAACAAACAAGTTAGACAGTGCCATTCAGGAGGAGAATGGCCATCAATTAATTACACCCTGGATTTAGGACCCTTCCTGCGAGCCATGCGAAGTAGCCCATCCAGGACAAGAGCCGAATAAGGTTGGAATCGAACTCAGATACCCATTGTGAAGTCTCCAAAAGCACTTTGGGATATGAGCGTTATTGATGCATGCACTCTGATAAGAAAGGAATGCAGAAAAATGGGGCAGGGAGGGAGGTGTGGTGCTGGCTGACGGCCACTGTGTGAGGGAGGACTGCGCTGCAAGTTACAAAAGCCATGTGCAAGGGCACATCTGTGTGGGAAGGAATAGGAAACAAGCAAGCGCACTGTAACATGCAACCATCACACACGGGTTATTT